ACACTGGTTCACAGTGATAAACTAGCCACTGAGTCAAGCAGAAAATGCAAAGGGAAGGTGCAGGGAAAAGGCCTATTCTAGGTGTTTAGCCAAAGCATTGATTAGCACAGTGCTTTGCAGAGACACTCAAGCAAGTCTGGCGGTTTCCCAAAAGAACAGATGTAAACACTGTTCTTTTGGTAATGAACCTTTATATCCTCCCATGACCCCCTCGCTCTTTTATAAATGGTGTTTAATCTCTGTCACATTAATTGGTCTGGGAAACCAGCTGAAATTAGTATTCTGAAGCAGCGTATGCCTTTAACCTTGAGATAAAAGTCTAATAAGTTACAGAATAAGATGCAGAAACCTTCTGAGACATTTATACACCTGGTGTTAACATCTGTGTCTGGGAAGAATAACTTTTTTTCTTAAATATACAACAAAATACAGTTTATACAATAAATAGATCTTACCAACCCCAATCTTTTGAGTGGTATTTTGCTTGAAAAATATTTTGAATTCATAAATACTACTATGTACAGTACACCAATATCAATAAAATTCATTTTTGAGAGGTTTTGATCACAAAATGTTACATCCTGAATGAAAATGAACTGATATTTTAAAGAGTAAATAAAAACTTAGCCAACTTTTTAGTTAATGATCTGTAAGAATGGATCTTTATTAATACCAGTCATTGATTCGAGTAACTTTTTTGGCATTTGTTTATAAAGTGTTCTATTTCTACAATATATGGTGTAAAAACGTCTTAGTGCTGCCCTCTTCAGGTTGAATGGTGGCTACTGCAGTTGAATTTTCCTATTGGATGTTTGCGGTAGTACGTGACACAACGGTTGTTGGTGACGTAGGCAAGTTCCATACAAAGAGATGCGTCTCAGGTGCACGCCCCCCTCCGCTGGGCTCTGCCCACTTTTCCAGCATTTTTCAAATATTGCCAGTGGGTGGAGTCAGGCTCTGACCAGGGGTTTAGTTACCCTTTAAAAGATAAACTGATCTTGATGCTTTACCATATTTGACACATTTGAGATGCACGTCTATATCAGATGTGCAGTAAATGGCAATATGTCTCATTTGGACACTTGTGATCAGACCACACAACGTTTTTACTGGAACCATATAATCTCCTTTGTCTTCCAAATTTTAGCTGTTGACATGCTAACAGAGTGAGATGCTAAATCGAATCTCTCTTTGACAGTCGCACAAAGGATTATTTTAAGCTATAAATGTGAACAAAACCAAAACAATGAATCCAACCAACAACAAAAAAATTCCACTGGTGTCTCTTTGGGAGTTGGCAGTCTTTTAAAGTTAGGGATAGTTACCCCAGAGGATTGTGGCTTGCTTTGGGCACTTCCTGTGTTGAGGGAGGGGCAGGGTGGTGCAGATGTGAGCTCATAGATAAGGAGTGAACCATAACACCCTCTGATAATGGCTTCCTGTTTTGTGATTTAGGTTGCGCTGGTCCTCTGCAATGCCTCTGAACTTTCGGATGTTTATCCAATCAGAAGGGCGGACGAACGAGGTGCTTTGGGCAACAAAATAATCAATTTGTTTGCCGAATACATCAAGTCTGTCATTTAAAGGGGCACCAACAGTTTCCTTTGGCTGCACAGGAAGTAAACATTTTAAACAGGAAATTCCTAACACATAAGTAATATCACTGGGCTATTCCTGCTCAAAATAGTTGTGACAATGAAATAATGGCCAGGCAGTGAAACAGTGCATTGGGACTTTTGAAGGAGCATTCCTTTTATATTCCAATTTAGGATGTTATTTGGCAAAAGCCATTTTAATTCAAATAGCCCCACAATTGCCATCTGTACTTCAGGGAGAACAGCAATCATGCCATAACTGCACGAGAAAGCCATCCGCTAAATTTAGTTTACTTTAATCGAATGGTGGCATTCCCTGCAGATGAGTGTGCAGATGAATAGATAGACATGGAAGACACAAACAGTGAGACAAAGAAGATTGCGCTTGTAATCAGTAGGGTACAACGGGGCTAAAGGCACACCTTAAGAACAAATTTGCTTTTCACTATTCCCAAAGTGCATTATGCAGACAATAAATATGTGTGTGTATTGAACATTTTTGTGTGAAAATAAATCCCAAACGAAGTTTATTTTGTGTAAAAATCATATAAATGTATGAGCTGGCTATATGCTGGCTTTTTACCTCGTAACAGGCTCACCAGCATGGGGTAAAAGCAGTGGTGGAGGAAGTACTGAATCTCAGTACTTAAGTAAAAGTACAAATAACCAGATAAATATTTACTTTAGTAAAAGTAGAAGTAACACAATGACAACCATACTTAAGTAAAAAGTAAAAAGTACCTGATTTTAAATGTACTTTAAGTATTAAAAGTAAAAGTACTTGCATAACAATTGATTCTCTTAATGACTATTTTCTAATGATTGATAAAACATTTAATTCTAATTCATTCAAACTAATACTCCTATAATGATGTTCAATAATGATGGAAAAAAATTGTTGTCACCATTTCTGAAACAAGCTTGCAATTAGGCAATACAAACCATATACTAACTTATGTTAATAACTATGTTTGGCAGTAAACGCGATTCATTTATGGTATAATTATGAACCTCTTGGCTTGCCATAATCCTAACGAAACGTATACACACGGTGTGTTTCCTATGCACTTAAAAACAAATTTCCGCGTATAAATTGCACGATAAACACACTGCGTGTGAGACGCATTTAGTTGATGTATCTATGGCAACCAAATGTCTCTGGTGAGACAAACGTGCAACGAACGGACGGTCAGATTACGTTTTGGAAGGGGAAAAACTGATCAGAAAATGTAATGAAAAAGTAACAGAAGTTGTTGAAATGTAGTGGAGTAGAAAGTAAAATAATTGCTGCAAAATGTAACGAAGTAAAAGTAAAAAGTATGCACTATTTATTCTACTTAAGTAAAGTAAAGATACGTGAAAAATGTACTTAAGTAAAGTAACAAAGTATTTGTACTTCGTTACATTCCACCACTGGGTAAAAGGGACCCATTATTTACACAAATACTTTAGCTGATGACTTTACGATTGTATGATAGATGTACGATTAGTAAACAGTTCACATATATGGAGATTTCAAAGTCACCTGCAGAGGACCAGAACCACTGTAGTCTTCAGTGTCTACATTCTCAGATCAGACAGCCTCAGAAACACTGAATTCAAATAAAAAAATGACCTGAATCTCTCCAAGCACTGAAAACACTTTTTCCCTAGACACTAACTCTATTGAGATCACTTAAAAAAAAAAAATAGCTAAAACACACAGCCTTAAAAATATGTTTCATTGAAACTTTTTGATTGATATCAGACCTTTTCATAACACTCATGTTGGATTTTTGTGAGCATGGAGTCAAACAGAATTTTCTGTGATGAAATCTCTTTTTAAAGTTGTTCTACAGAGAGAAAGTCTCTTTCCGACCTCATGTTCCTGATACATTTCACACTTTCGTGTTGGATCTCAGCCAGACTGATATCAAGCGCGTGTCACCAATGCTAATATTCTGCAAGTTTTCTGAGTCAAGAGCCAAAATAACACATCAAGATAACATCGATGGGATGTGCCGATGGGATTTTTAAAATGGTTAAATTAGCCGGATTTCTTTCTGCTGTCTGATCCACAGAAATGATAAAGACCACTCATCTATAAATACTCATTTATACTGTGTTTAATAAATGAAGCAATGTTAGAAGTATATAACTGTATAAGTATATACAATTATACATCAATGCCAGACTAGCCAAAATATACCCAGACAGAAACAACACTTGCAATAGATGTGGACAGTATTCAGCCAATCATACTCACAGAGATTTGGTTTAAAATATGTGGCACTAAAGAAAAAAAAAAAACGTTAATATATTAGTCACTCCAAACCCTTCGACAGCTTAGTTTGAAATTCCTTTTTAAGCCTAATTTGGCCTCATACATACAAGAGGTTGTTGCTTTAACCACCCTATTGGCCAGGAGGCTTATTCTATTTAAGTGGAAACATGCATCTCCTGCTTCATATGGATAAAAGAAATCCCTGTGTTTAAAGCTTGAACAAATCAGTTTCTCTTTAAAAGGGTCTCTAAAAACCTAGCACAAAACATGTTAGCCTTTGTTAAATTACATTGATACCATTAATCTGTCATTTGAAAATGCAGAAGAGGATTAAGTTTTTTTTTTTCCCCTCTCAGACATTTTTTGTATTATTTTAAAGGGTCACTCCACCCATTTGCATTAAGCTTTCCATTGTTAGAAACCCAGTTATAGAAACCCTCAGTCGTCCTGCTCGCCACAGTAAACATGATGAATGACGACTGTAGAACGCAAAAGCCGAATCCCGGACATTTTTTTTTACGATCTCGAAACAAATTTTCGGGCAGACTCATCACGGAGAATCACTAGTAGTTTAGACTTGTTGTTTAACTACTGCGTTGTTACCAGTAGGCGTGGCCTCCTAGGGCAGCGAAGTAAGTGCATTCTGGGAGTTGTTGTCTTTCATCCACATAAGCCAAAAAATACAAAAAAAAATCTTTTCTCAGTCTAGAAAGCTCCAAATTCAAAAATAATTTCACATTTATTCTACATAAATGTATTTAAACCCATTTTAAATACGCATTCATCTTTCCAGAGGTGGAGTGACCCTTCAACTACAAAGTATTATACTTACAGTATATTATTATATATAGTATTGTTGTTATAGGGTATTTGTTTGGTGGTTGTCCTTGGGATGCTAGGGGTGGGGACTAAGTGAGGGAAAAATACTGAACTGTGGTTTACCGCGTTTTTGTTGTTGTATCTGCAGAAAATGTCAATAAATATATTTAGAAATTAATTCTAGATTTATCATATGAGGATTCCACATACAGTAGTTGCTGGGACATTAGGGTTCTTTATCAACCACCATGAAGGAACAGAGTTTTTAAAAACACTATAAATGGCTTATCAGTATTAAAAGGCTTTATTAACATGAGACTTACTCAGCAGCTGGTGGGGCAGGACCTGCAGGCTTCTCTTCATGGTATCATGTGGTCCGGCTCCTCCTCCACAGTGCTCATGGTTCTCTGCAGGACAAAGGATAGACGGGAATTAATTATAATCTGATTATCATGCCAGTGCATTCCTGAACTTTTAATGAACTTAAAGAACATAATGAACTTTGCTATCATTAAAGGGACACTTCACCCATTTGCATTAAGCTTTGCATCTTTAGAAACCCAGTCATATTTTTGAATGGCCATGGTTTATTCCCTTATTTTTCCCTGAGATGGGAGAAATAAGGATTTAAGTGTTTTACTTCCTGCTTATTGTGACGTAAAAATCGTCATTTTGCGTCATAATGAGCAGGAAGTCACATCTCATTGAAAAGTGTAGAGACTACAAACATTAGCTCATTATTATTCAAGGGTGTGGGACCCGCTCACCCTACAGGCCTATTACAGATCAGTGGGTGGGACTTCACTTGCAGATATGGAATCAATATCCGCCATCTTGTTTGGAAGCTAAGCTAACAAGCGCTGTGGAGATAGGAAGTATGATAATGATGGAAGAAACTAAACATGATATGGAAGAAGAGGATTTTGAAATTCTGCTGCTCGAATCCGATGTTCGTGGCTATCTTTACGAGCCGCAATATAGTGAAGAGCATCTGAGGCTGATGGAGGCAGTGGCGGTTCTACCTTGAATTACACCCAGGGCGAGACCCCTTCAAAAAAAAAAAAAAAAAAAAAAAAAAAAAAAAAAACCTTGCATATTATAGGCTACTGTAAAAATTCATAATTAAAGTTGATTTTAGTTGATCATTAAAATATTAGATAATATGGTGACCAAAATGATCACACACAGAATCTTGTTCAAAATGCCTAATACACAGTGGAATCAATTCACCAAGTTAATAATATTAAAGGTTTGTTTTAAAGGATCTTTCATCTTACTTACTAAACTTAAAAAAAGGTTAACACAAAAAAAGGTTTTATATAAAGATAAACCTCATATTTCAGCATTTAAATCCTCTCTATAAAAAGAATGAGTCAATAAAGATACATTCCTGACATTTATAATGCACAGTAGCTTATCTTTTATTATTAATAGTAAAATTCGTACAGATTTTCCCATGGCTGTCATTGCTATAGAACCATGCACTCATTACACTGCGCTCTCCACAACGACAAAGGAGTTTTATTAGCTAATCTATTTCCACCACAGAAAAACGCTTGCTGTAGCTCTACTAAAAGACGTATTTACGGAGAACAGAAAAAACACCCAAGTGTTTGGGTGCACGTGCACTCCCATACTGAAAAGTTTATGAGCGCGCTTCCCGTGAGCGCATAATGAGCGCGCTCCCGTGCGCCTATTTGAAACATAGAGGATTTGAAATAACGACCTCGAGCGCACAAAAGACGCGATACGTGAACTAATCAGGAGATTCCCTTGACATCGCTTCTGCGCACGGCACCTTCTCAGCAAACAGGGCGCCATTGCCAATAATTGAATCGAAATGATAAAAAATAGAAAAACTTCGCGGCACAGAGTATTTTTTTAACTGCTCGTGCCGCCCCCCATGTGACATGAAGAAATGCCGCCCCGGGTGACTGCCCGGTTCGCCTGTGCCTAGAACCGCTACTGGATGGAGGAACAGGAGGCGGCTGCCTGTTGCAGTCGAGGAGCCCGGACTGGCTCGAGCTGAGGCGGACTTCTGTGGATGTGCTCTTGCTGTGAACTACGGACACATATAGAGTTCGTCTGCTGCAGAGAATTTCAACGATGGCAATTTCTCCTGAACGAAATCTCTGAATCAGACGAGCACACGGACAATTGTGTTGTGATGCGAACCATCCTAGTTTCGCCTGACTGAACATCCAGGTATCATGCAGTAATTCACCATATAGAAATGAATACAAACGAGAAGTAGTTCACTAATGAGTTTGCCAATGTAACGTTAACAGGGTTTGTTGCTGTGGGAAGAAGGAGGCGGGAACCGGCGAAGATTTAAACATTTTAATAGAAAAATTAACAAATACAAAACGAAAGTATAAGCCAGCAGCCACTCATTGACGACTGCTTTACCGTTACACACAACAGAAACAAAACACAACATAAAATCAGGCCTGTTTCTCTCTCGCGCTGCAGTCGTCGCTCTCTGTTTTATGCTTTCGCTCCTCCGTGAGAGACGTGAGACCCGGCGTGCGTCTCACAGGTCTTTCATTATCACTCATGCCACCGGCCTCACGCCGTCCTCTTACGTCCCTCGCCCTCAATCGTGCTCCTCGCCACAGCCAACTAACTAGAAATTTTGTGTGAAATGAATTTCAAACTCTGGTGGCAGCTAACGTTAGCCTTGTAGACGGAAGAGTGATCTGTGCAATGTGGTGCATTGTGGGAGTTGTTGTCTTACATATAAATGCGCCTCTGGGTTATTTTCTGTCTTTTCTCGGTCAAGAGGGCACCAAATCGAAAAATTCTTTTACATTTCGACTACATATATGATCCACTTTCAATAAAGATTAATGTTGAAATGGGTGAGACGCTCCTTTAAAAAGGATTGTATTATTACAGTACATGTGAGGCAACCAGCCCAAAAGAGCAACATTAGCTCAAACAATAATGTGATGAGTATCTATTTTTCCAACAAATGAAAGACAAAAGAGCATAAAAGGTTTAGGTCTGAAAATAATAACTTGCACAAGCTGAAATTTATTTGACCTATCATTGAAATTCCAGAATTATTCCCCAGTGTTCAGGCATTTGACATAAGCCGACACTTTCATTCTTAGGAAACTGTCACAGTGCTAAATGCAAATGGACACGGACACATTTTCTCTCAAGAGATAAGAGTCCATGAATATGTGTGTGTGTGTGATTGTCAAGGTGTCAAAATTGTCACTCTCTCATCTTGTCCTTGGGGTACTGCGACTGAACCTCATCCCACCGCACAAGACATTGAGGCGATAAAGTATCTGAAATGAGATTTGAGCCCCCTTGGGTGAGAGGAAGTCTGAATCACATGCTAATCTAAACGTCTCGCCAACACAACCACATTGACCATGATACAGCGCATCATTGATCCTTTTTCATAATCTTTTCATTAAGAGCTGTCTGTCTTTCATAAGCATTGGATCAAATCAAGCCTTTTCACAAGCAACCTAAACCACGTCTAAATAGCTTTTGATCAATGCTATTTAAAGAGACAGCACTGATTTTGAAGGCTACAAGTCTAAGTAAATCTAAATGTGTACCACAAAGTAAGCAGCTAAGTAAAACAGCTCTCTACATCACTTCAGCCTAATACAAGGCTCAATAGATTCACGGGATTTTGAAAGATGGCTAAAATGTTTTCCTAAAAAAAAATAATAATAAAAAAAATCAGTTATTTTTGTAAACAAAACACATCAGAGAAAAAGGGTTGAATTCATTAAACAGTTGACACCATTCTGTGTGGTAAAATAACAATTTGATTTAGCATACTTGGACTGTCCTGTGAGTAGCCTACTTATTATGGAAACACATAAGCTAAAAGAATATACTTAAAGGCATACTCCACTTTTTTTTTTGGAAATAGGCTCATTTTACCACTCCCTCAGAGTTAAACAGTTGAGTTTTACCGTTTTCGAATCCATTCAGTCGATTTTTTTTTATATTTAGAAGAATATCAGTAACCAGACAGTTTCTAGTCTCATTGACTTCCATAGTAGGAAAAAAAATATACTTTGGAAGTCAATGAGACCAGAAACTGTCTGTTTACTGATATTCTTCTAAATATAAAAAAAAAAAATCGACTGAATACATTCAAAAACGGTAAAACTCAACATGTTAACTCTGGGAGAGTGGTAAAATGAGCTCTGTCATCATTTAATCACCCTCAAGTTGTTCCAAACATGTATTAACGTCTTTCTTCTGTTGAATACAAAAGAAGATATTATCAAGAATGTGGGTAACCAATCAGTTGATGCGCCCCATTGACTTCCATAGGATTTTTTTTTCCATAGCCTACTATGGAAGTCAATAGGGCTCATCAACTGATTCTCTTTCGACATTGTTCAAAATATCTTTTGTATCCAGCAGAAGAAAAAAATTCAGATGCCCTTTTTTTTTACAGTATGTGCACTTACAGTACATGTACGTACAGTGTTCTTGCCGAAGAAAGTGGTTAATAAGGTAAAAACATGGGTTAAGTTTAGTTGTAGATTCAGGGTTACTACCTAGTTACCCAGTTATTGTAGTTATAATAACTATAATAAGTACACATAGTATGTACATGAGAAGCAGCACTGCAAAATAAAGTGCCACCAAAAATTCATAAAGGTTTTGGGTGAACTATCCCTTTAATAATGCTCTTTAAAGAATGTTAAACCACACACACACAAAAACTGCTATTAGTGCTGGAAAGCTGGCATTAAATTGAATTTTATTCATGAGACATATTTGTGCATTTTCACAGATCATGGCAGCAGTTATTCATAAAATTGATCAAATGATGGAAATGAGCATTACAATCTCTCTCTCTCTCTCTCTCTCTCACACACACACACACACACATCAAAACTGCCTCACTTCTCAATGTAATTCAATTATTATCCATTATAGAACTTGATTTCGACAATCGGTTAATGAATATTTTTGCAAATAATTTCCATTTGGGTTCATTATATCTGCAGCCTGTTCAACATGCGAGTGGTTATAAACCTGTTCCCGTAATCTTCATCTCATTATTGTTCAACACAGCCAGTCGAGAAAATTCAACCGCTGAGCTTTCAGACTTCTCAATCAATACAGTTCATGATGTCTCAATCAATGAACACAACGCTTTTATGTGTGTGTGCAGTAGTCACTGCAACGTCATCACAGCACCTGTGAGAAAGTCTGTGATCCACAACAGATTTTCAATGAAAGCAACCGTGTGTGTGAGTTTGTGTAGGAAGAAAGTCCATTTTTGGGTCATGCCCACCTGCGCTAGGAGGCAAATAGATGCAAGCACATTTTCTCAGACAACAGATGTGAGGTCAGCAGAGTAAAAACTACAAGTACAAGACAAATCGAGAGGCCACAAAACGAGTAAAGCCTGAAA